TTATTAGAATAAAGTAACTGCTGTGATTCTTAATGTTTGTATTTTAGGCCACTCTTTGAAAAGTCCGGAATAGCAGACAATAGCACTGGCTGGTAAATGTTAGCTAAGAGTTAGCTATAGTTATGTTTACAATACTTAGGTTTGGCTAAGTTAAACCAATAAATAGCAGAAATAGCTATAAGTGGCTTAATCATAGCTGAGCACTACAGAGCTAAAAGCTAAGTGTAGTTGTTACGGGTAGCTTAAAAATGAAAAAATAAACTGCTCTGAAACTCAACTTGCAGCATACAACCAAGGCCACAAATTGCAACATCAAACAAAGCTTGAATAAAGAAACTTTTTTTTTTCAACAAACCAAGGTGAAAGCTAAACACTGTGACATTTTGTGTACAATGTCTTTATTAGCCGAGTGTTTCGACATGTGAATCTGGTCACATGAGTTTTTACAAACTGGTCAATATACATTTAGATTGCAAACTAGTCGATGTATATGCATCAATTCTACCAGAATATGAATGGAACATAGAAAAATGGAAATGAATGTGTATTTCTACAAGTACAGTGTATGGATATTACAGGCGTCTGCGCCCCTTAAAAACACAATAAGTTTGCTGTGATTGTATTTCTTATCTCATCTCCCTGCATCTATTGTGTGGCAGAACCTTAAGCACCATCCAAATATTGTCCCAAAGAGTGAGCATAATATAAAATAATAGATTTTCTCTATTATTGTGCCACAAAATGTACAGTATATAATCCTATCGCACTGCACTGTGCTACACAGATAATGGAAAAGCACTCACCTGCACAGCAGCAGGATGTTTTCTTGATATATTTATAACCTCGCAGAAAGTTCAGCTTTGTCTAAGACGCCTGCACAGCAAATTAGAGTTTTAAATCCCACCAAAGAAGAATGGTAATGCATGAGGTATACTATGCATACTAAATCAAACACCTACATTTGTGGACACGCATATTATAAAATGCTGTACCCACATATTGATTTGCTTACACCAAAGTAGTTTATTGCACACTGTTATCATCATAAATCAAATAGTAAAAGACAGTGAATAAAGATGAGGGCGGCGTCGTCGTCTTTCCCGTCTTCCTCTACTTCTTCTTTTTCAAAACAAGCCAGACTCCCCATCAGTCACTGAATGAGCACTGATTTATTGTTCAAAGTGTGACTGGACCTGACTTGGAAGTAATTGAAGAGAATCTATGGGTCAGAGAAGATCATGAATTAGCTTGTTAAAGTTGGTGATCCATAACGCTGCACTGTCAGTGCTCTTTGACTGCCTAACCCCCGAGCACAGGCTATATGGAGTCTCGGGCACACAGTGAATCAGTTACAGTGTAAGATGCAGAGTCAGAGTAAAAACAAGGCATTTCTACATCCATACTGACTATCGCCAGGCCTACTACCGTACAAAAATGTCAAAAAGTATATGAGATGAAATATAATGATTGGCAAATTTCAGTTAACCCACAATTCACATATTTGACTCCTGACTCCTGTTTAGTTGAACACAACTCCAATATACTCTCAGGAATTGACGCACAAGAAAATCCTTTTTAAGCACTACACAATTTCAAATTATTGCATTGAAAGTGTGTTTATAATTCATACTCCCATGCACCGCGTTGCTTTCCTCAGCATTTGATAACCCAGTGGGTCATGATCGGTCCACTCGCTTTGGACTCAACAAAGAAACAGTTCTCCCAGAACAGTTTTCACGTTCACTCTCTAAATCCCATTTCCAGCAGTGAAATCATGCTAATAAATTTTTCCTGAACAGTGATGTTTGGCAGCTGCTTGGCTGCTGCAGCACTGACACCTTTGCCAAAACAACCCCATTTGTAATCGCATATTATGTTGACTAGCACAAATAATATTAGGTGGTAATGCCAACTCATGGCAGCAGTAAAAATTGATGTTCACCTCCTTTGTTCAATCTGTTTGGTTGGAAGCATTATGCATTGTAAGCAGGACCCGTTCAAACATTAAATGAATGGAAGAACGCCGGTTAACTTCCCGTGTGATATTAACAACGTGATCGCTGTAAAATCAGACCTTATACGCAGATTATTTCAGCACAGGGCAAACGAATAAATGAGAACGAGAGAGTGGTTTTTATTTAGTGAGGTTATCCGCATAGTTGCTCATTATTTTTTTAACCAACGTATTTTCAGGGAGATGCTACCACCTCTCATCCAAGAGTGTTCTTCAGATCTCAAAGTAGAGAATCACTTCAAGTCAACAAGTCCAGTTGCCTACTCGAAAACCTCTGACAGGTGACAAGTGACCTGGAGGACCGAGAACCTCCACAGATATCGATCTACAAGTTTATTCTCCAGGTTTTCACAGACATTAAGGTTTTACTATGTTTTTTTTTTTTTTTGATTAACAGAAAATGAGATACAATTCAGTTATTATCGTGGATCTTTTGTTTGTGTGTGATGAACCAATGGTAAGAATCCCTATACTCAACATCTTCCTTGGTTCAACACCATTCAAGTTTGTCCAATGATTCTGGATGAGTAAAACTGCTATTTTCACCTTAGCTGTCAATCACTTAAATTATTCATGAAGAAGAAGAAAAAATATGGCAGTGTTTTTTGTTGTTCTCCTTTGATCAACCTTCAAGGAGAGTCAAGTTGACTTTCACAGTTAGTAAACAAGTAGCGAAAGCTTCCACTGACAGAGCTTCCAAGCGAAGCTGTAAGGAACGTCCAGCACGATGAGCCAATTTCTCTGCGTTTCCTCGTGTGTTGTAAACATCTGCCGGCGCTTTGTGAACGGCCCTGTGATTCGTCAGTGCAGTCTATACTGCTACAAAATTAAATGCGGTGCTTTAAACCAAGGAGTCCCAAGGAGGCGATGGAATCTATCTCCCTCAGATCATTTGATTCCCATTACGCTGAAAGAGTATAGTGAAATTATTGATCACCGAAGGCGAATAAAGCTTTCCTCCCCAACTTTAGTATGGATGCACTCCCAGCCTGGTGTACTCTATATTCACCGGGCGTGGCTGTCTCAGAGCTGCACACTTTGTCGCTCGCTCATCAGCTTGTTTATTGCAACTGATGGTTGTAAATTAAGCTGCCATTTACTGGAGTCATTGAAGGCATCGAGGAGTGAGTCACCGTCTGATTTTTTCAACTGCCACTGTATCGACGGTCCCATTCTCTCCTTGATTTCAGGACCAGTAGGTCTGATGCACATGAATTTGACAAACAGTGAACTGTTTTGAGATTAGACCTTTATCGACAGTGAATGAACTGTTTTGAGATTAGACCTTTATCCAAGTTGATTATTTCCAACAGAAGGGAACTAAAATGAGGAACAAGAAGTATTAAAGGAACAGCTCTTTTTTTTTTTTTTTAAAAAAAGAAAAGCTATGTTTGAATGTTTTATGTGTAGTTTCTTAAGGCAGTGGTTCTCAAACTTGTTATTCTCTGTACCACCTGAGAAAACATGAGCTCTCTGAGTACCACCATGATGACCAACATTCGAATATAGCAGCTAGCTATTCCTATATTTATTCTATTAGCTACATCCTATTTCTCACAAGTAGCTACAATTTTTTCTAAATGTTGCATTAATTGTGCATGGTATGTTTCAGATTTGTTCAACTGAAGATGTAAATATGAATTTTCCTCACGTACCACTGGAGAGCCCACTGGTGGTACGCATACCACAGTTTGAGAACTACTGCCCTAAGGGTATTGTTACATATAATTAGTGTAGGATTTTCCAAGGGATCCTTAAAAAGTCTGAAAAGGCATTGGGTTCTTCTAATTCTAATCTAATATCAACGCCTTAATTACATTAAAAGGATATTTCTAATTTTTCAACTCAAGTGTCAACACATCAAAATGAGGATTTTATTCATGGTTTCTTCTAACTCTCCAAGTTAATTAAAAAGTTTTAAATAAACACTTCGGCTAGACAACTGGTGACAGCAGAACCGGCAATATTTAATGTTTGTTTCCATGCTGGGGGGACACACACAGACACACGTTTATACCTAGTGATAATAGAAGTTGATGGTAAACAAGTGCAAATTTTAGAAACGTTCACCTGTGAACCTCTACACAATGGGAATCGAGCCAGTAGAATCACACGTCCTAAGTCTGGTTTTGTGATTTCATTTTGGTTTTTGTTGGTTTGAACTTTTATACTGCTATTAAAAGTATGACATTTCTCCTGCAATCTGCAGATATCCTCAGTCTCTGCTATGTCCCCATAACATGTTTGAATATTTGAAAACAAAGAGTGTTGCAGCAGCTTCTCTCTTCTATGTCCAAATAACATGTTTGAATATTTGAAAACAAAAAAAGCTCTTTTATCTTCTCCACAGAAGTGTGTTGTTTGTGCCTGTCTGCTTGAATTTAGGTTTCCTGTACCCTCCACAGGGCAGTGATGCAGTCTAGCTGCAGTCTAAGCATTAAATCATGAACCTCGCTGCATCATAAAATAAAGTAATGAATTTAATTTTCCCATAACAGAGGGCAGAAATGTGAGGAAGTGTTCTCAGTCGGTGTCACGAAGCACAAACAACCTTCTAAAAAAAAAAAAAAAAAACGGTCTGGTTGTGTGTCTGGAGGAGGGGGAAAAAAAAGCCACTGCGCGGCAGAGTGGCATCAGACTCTTATTTGGTTTGTATTGATTATCAGGGTGTGTGGAGGTGGGATACAAGTGAGCTCACTTTCTGCCGTTACTCTTTGTCAATCGCACCGCGGAGCCAAAATGCAAACCAAATGAGAACGCTTGCACCTGTGTAGCCGAGAGAATTAAATGTAGCTGGTGACCCATTTTTACACAATCGCATTTCGAACCGTCTCTCCGAGGGGAGCGGGGAACACGCATTTCAAATAGGATTAAATGGTAATGGAGTCAAAAGAGTAAACGAATCAGTGTCAAAGTGATGTAATGAGATGCAAATTCCGGAATCATGCTAGAAACTCCTAACCCGACTCATCTGTGCGTCCTACAGGAGGCCAGTTGGAAAGCCTGATGGAGACCATGAGAGCAGAGATCGCTGCCCAGCCGCCAGTGGAAGGTTCCTATGCCGCACGCAGAGGGGAATACTGCATAGCTAAATTCGCTGATGGTGAATGGTGAGCTAATCTCTGTTTAAATATTAAAGAACCCTGCCAGAAGTCATTACCTCATCGTTTGCGGAAACCAAGGTTTGACAGGTTCCACAGTCACCGTGACTCTCCTACTCTTGCTAACTGTACTTCCTCTCCAAAAAAAAAAAAAGTTAGGTTACATAAGAAAAAAGGCATGACCTGTAGTGACGAGCTTGTGAAGGCTGGCTGCAGACAGAGCACAAGCATTTTGTTGTATGAAGAACTTGCCCTGTTTCCTGTAATATTACTATGGTCCATCACATGGTCTTTAGCCCATGGTTACTAATAGCCAGCCTAAGCTTGTAAAGGCATTAAGTTGGTTTTAACTCATTAATCAGTAGAAGCCGAGAATTACTTCATCATTTTTTTTAAGATTATTCTTAATATGTCTGAAAGTCTATTGCTGACTGGTACACACACACACACACACACACACACAGAGATCACAGCTTGTTCCCTAGGTTAATGACTCCAATCTTCATACTGAATCAGAAATCTGTGTCTTCATTAACCTGCATCCTCAGAGTTTTCTGAGTCTGTTGACGATTTCATTCACACCGACTTCACTCCAGTGAATTTAAATATTGACATTGCAGCATCCAAGTGGTTCAGGTCACAGGTGTTCCTTGTATGGCTGATGTACTGCAGTCCACACATGTGCTGTGAAATAAGTGTTGATTGTGATTATTTTGGATAGTACTAGAATTAGTAGTAATAGTAGTAGTAGGAGACAGTAGTAGTGTTGAATTTGAATTTTCTTTCGTTACCAGACTACTTCACTCTTAATGTAATTAAACATCATTAGTGCCAGTAAATCACTTTAAAAATCCCTGAACTTTTTGAAAGTTTTTTGGGCAAAACACTCTGATTAAATATAATACTCAATCCATACTGATAATTGATGTGTCAATACTACAAAATCAATGCTCACTATTTGATACCATTAGTCTCGAGTTCCAGGGCAGTAACTACGACCTGAACATTCTTACCAGGAAACATAATAACGTACGTACCTAAGGTAACGAGTCACGCCGCGTGGTCGGCCATACCTTCAGCTGTTTCTTTTGCTCCTCTTCTTCTCTTACATAATAACTTGACATTTCATTTTTACCTCATTTCTATTTAAGCCTGTGATGCATTAACGGCAGACACCCACGGGGTGTAATTAGCTCTCTGCCACAGACACGCCCTGTAGAATCAGCAATAGCCTGACAGCAGCCACACGCGCACGCACACACACACACGCACGCACACACACACGCGCGCGCCCTGCTTCATCTCATCTCCGCACCGGATGCTGCGCCCCGCTTCATCTCATCTCCGCACCGGATGCTGGAGCTTTACAGATGGTCATGGGGACAGATAGAAGTCACTGTGATGGAGGGAGGGATGGAGAGCATCTGTGTGACAAAGGTGAGGACAAGAAAAGATTACAGGAGGAAACAAATGTTCCATGAAACAGGTGTTCCTTCTTTCCACTTTCTTCCCCGTCCCCTCGTGGGTTTTGGGGGTTCAAAAATAGTTATTTGTGTCCCGGCCCGTAAAACAAAAGGCACCTAGTTGTTTCCGTCAGCAACGAAACAGGAAATCTGCAGCACGTAGCATTTGTCTGAAATAATATTACCCCCCCCCCCCCCCTTTTTTTTTTTTTTTTTTCCCCTTTTTTTTTGGAAAACAATTATTTTTTTCTTCCTCTTGT